AGCATTGTCTGGGTTGGCTGAAAACTGATATTTCATCGGTGCGTTTCCCTCTTAAGCGGAAGACAATCTAGGAGACGGGGAAATGCAGGTGTTCCCATAGTAGTGAACTTTTTTTTCGGCAGCAATGGCGACCACCCACCATGGAGTCCAACCAGGGGACGCTGAAGCACTTAATAGCATAAGGCTGCAGACGCCAGCCGTACATTGCTACTATAGCCAAATATAACTACTCAAGGTTGAGTAACTACACAAGGTTAACCCTTGCCACCAGGAAAATTGGAAGTAAACAGAAGAAAGAAGTAGACAGGACAGACTAAAAGTGAGAGATAATGACGATGTTGTAGGGGAGAGAGATAGGAAAAGGTGACTGCCGATTTCCCCTGGGTGAGTCAGCCCACGAAGCCAGGGCCAAAGGGGTGTGTTGCTTCTGCCGGGGGGCCTTAAAGGTCCAATCACCCAGCGTCGGCTCAACCCCTCGGATCCCCTTTTCCCCGGACACGGCTCAGCCACGCACGGCTAGGCGTGGGAGGGAGCCAAAACTCCCCCATTAGCTCGGGTCCGTAGTGTCGCTACACACCAAACGCCTACTTACGCAGGTGCCCCTGCTGAGAACTTCAGCAACTTTGAGGAGCGAGCCTGCCCGCCTAGCAACCGGCACGCCCTGGAGTCTGCCACGACCACGGACATCGTCACGTCCACTATTCACCCCTCATTTATGGAAGCATTGCCGTCAACGTTGTCCGTGCAACCCAACTTTTCACCGACTTTGACATTCTGCCCATCTTGCCGGCAGAAACAACTATCGCCCTCGACGCCTACCACAGCAGAAGTTTGCACCACTAACCATCTACGACCAACCGTGCACGATGCTGCGACGATGACGGAATATCTCGAGGATCACCTAACTGGCCCACCACAAGTAAAGCAGGCTGCGTACGCCCTCCTGAGCACGCAGACACAGAGTCCGCCAGCCACCTTGCATGTGCACTCTCCTCCGCTTGCTAACTCTGAAACTACAGAGGACACGCCTTCCAGTCCTTTCAACACGTCTCGTCATCACACCACGACTGGTCGCGTCACATACATCTCTGGCAGAATACTCGCGGCTTGTCTGCACTCTACCCGGCAGACAAGACAGCAGCCACAGCATCTAATATGCTGCCTTCAGAGCAGTTACCGGCACCATCGTCACGACACCCGCGTCTCCTGCTGCCCCAAGTGCCCAACTATGCACAAGAACCGCCACCATCGCCACAGCCTGTCTCGGTGCAAGTTTTGTTGTGCTGCACTATGTAACTTCTTGGCCCGGAGCCCATTTGCACCTTGTTGGTTGCACTAGCTACAACCGTGTGCTTTCGTCGTGACTGTCGCCAGCTGCGATTCTCCCAAAGTCGCCCGCCAGAGACTCACTGCTTACCAACGGCCACTCGGCCACTCCACGTTGACGACCTGGACTTCCCAATGGACACCTTACAGATTGCTGTTCATGTATATAGTATTTGTCGTTCTCTTTCTTTCTCAAATACCTTCAAATCGCGCAAAGCGCTAGGGGGGGAGCCCTGTAGCGCCATCATCATCATCATCATTTTCTTGACCACTGCACCGCGCCTCTCGTGCAGCTAAGGCTAGCTTGAGCTGCGCGAGAACAGAACGAACTCACGTGCCTGGAGTGTCGGATCGGATGCTGGCAGCTGTGGCGGCTTCGCTTTGGGCCTGGAATAAAGTGGCGAGATAGGCACGGCCTGCGTAGACCCGTCTTCGGGGTCGTATCTCGTCTCTTCTCTCACCGGTACATGCATAAGTGACTAGTCATAACACGAAAATCATGACGTGTGTCATAAATGTTATGATTTGAATGTCATGGTCTTGCTGCTTTTGCAGTTGTTTCGTTCATGTGACATATTGCAAAACTGGTATAGTATGACATGACTGCATGGCGAACATAAGTGGCAGGCCCTAATGTGCAAATCATGACCTGCATGTCGTGTAAGTCATGACTACACGACATATGCTCATGGTGCGCTCGCGGTCGTTTTGCTAGTTTCACATATGCCAAATTTATTATTATGTGACGTGAATGGATGAATGACGCGTTCAAACATGATAATCAGGATATGCGTGTCATGTAAAACATGACTACATGCTACGCTCATGATGCCCTCGCCGCCGTTTCGCTAACTCCACATACACCAAATTTGGTATCATGTGATGCGAATACACAACGAAGGTAAATGACACGTCCGAACAAGCTAATAATGACATGTGTGTCATTTAAAACGTGACTAGATGCTACGCTCATAGCCCACTCGTGGCCATTTTGATAGCGTCACATATACTAAGTTTAGTATTATGTGACGTGAATGGAGGAAAAACACAAATGCCAGGCACAAACATGGTAATCGTGACATGGAAGTCATCTACAGCATAATTTACATGCCTACCACTGCTCGGGCTGGTATTCCAAAATTAGTGGTGCCGTCGTAACGGGACTATAAACAACACACTTGAATCTTATACAGATAACTGAGTGCGCATAACATTTCCACTCGTGTTTACTGTGTACTACACTTATGCGCCTCGTAACGGTGTGGAGATTTTAAAGTGATGTGTCAACCTTCCTGATTTGTGCTTTGCATATTATCGATTCCCACTGTACATGAAATGTGCCAATTTTAATTTGTCCGCCACAGTGGGCTTAACGAAGGGTGCGAGTGTAGAGACATTACAGCTGATAAGCACACAGCGAGCGAAGGTCACGAAACTGCCCGCGCCAACCGATGATCGCTTCCTGTAAATACGAAACTTTAAGGACCAACGACGTGCACGCAATTTTCGAGCGACCACGACAGGATTTTCTGTCGCAAAGGATCATTGGTCACTAGCGCATCACAGGTTTCTGGAAAACCAGAAAAAATCCCTTGTCACCCAGAAAAGATCCATGATGATTTCCACAACATGGCAGCACCCCGAATTCTCGCTTCGCTTGTTCTCTACGCGTACAGGAACTTCTCAGGTGGAAGTGAGGCAATGGCTGTATTTTGTCGTTAATTTTGTTATCGACAGTTTGCTTTCACGCTTCAAGGGTAGCTTGCTTCAATGCTGGTTACTTGCTACAATGTTAACGGCCTCGTCACGGTCATCGTGCGAGGTTGCCACGAAGTTGGCGAAGTGTGTTGAAGCGTAGTAGCGCACACTTCTGGGAACCCCTTGAGATCACAGAAGATACCAATCTTGCAGTTAAACGATTGCGAGAAAAGATGGCCGAAAACGCTTTTATGGTGTGTGCAGGCGACCCAGGGACAGCTTGCAGAAGATAGTGCCATCAAACACCGAAGATGAGTAACGTGCAACAAAGAAGCTGTTTCCAAACAGTGTACGCGTATGTCATTTGCGAAAGGCTAAGTGGCCCTTTTTTTGTTCATTACCGCATTTTTTGCTGATCCTGAAAAAGTTTTCTTAAAATTTACCCCGCATAATGAACACACCCCCAGCTTTGCTCTGATTTTTCGAGAAAAAAAAGTGCGTTCATCACGCAAGTCAATACGGTGTACAGTCTGAACTTGATTCGAAATTATTCGACAAACTTAGAAGCGTGGTGGTTTGGGCTAGTTGGTATGAAATGACGATTGTTATAGCGCAAGAACCAAACGACACCAAAGGGACAAGAAGACGAGCGCTTGTCTTCTTCCTGTCCCTTTGTTGTCGTTCGGTTTTTGGGTTATAACGATCATCATATTCGACCAAATCTCTGTTCCCTTCAAACCTGAAATTCACTATTCGCACATGCCTTGTTTTCATCTACACAGCGACTGCTTTCCTTAACAGTGTGGCTGTGTATGCTTTAGTCACTTCAAAAGTGGACAAGAGGAGGAATGTGTGAGTGGAGATAAAAAACAGGAGAGGACTGTCGAGATTTGTCAGTGTGCCACATGGGACGTTCAGGAACAAAGAAGAAAAACAGAGGGAGGTAGGGGAGAGATGGAGATGTATCCAATCTCTTACTGGGTCTCAATAACGCTGGCATGTTACAGCCAGGGCACTGTGCCGAGAAGCACTGCACCAATTGGATTTGGCTGGGGTTGAAGAAACTCATACCACGGTAATTCTGCAAGAAGTACATAGCTTGGTGAGCAGCAATTGAAGGCACGACTCTAACAATAAAAAGGTTGAAAATTGTTAGAGAAAATTTGGAGTGTTACTTTACGTCATTGTGAAAACACTGTCGTTTCAAGTACACCCTTTGAAATATTCATAGCTGTTAGATGGAGCGTACTGATATTGCGGATCAGATACAACCATCTCTACAGAGCCGTATCTTCGAAATTGACTGTCCAATAAAATAAGCAGTCAACATTTGCCAACCTCTTGCCACATGAAAGTGGCCGAAGACGTGAAAGTGAAGTTCACCTGACACCGTTTACAAATGCTGAATGCGTAGAACCTAACTTGTGTGACAAATAATGAAACTAAGGTCCCCGAACACCCCCTTGAGCTAGTTCAATGACTTAGTTAGTTCTGCAACTTAGGTCTGGTTGATGGCTCTTGAATTAATTGATTCGGCATATTCTGTTGTGGAGCACTAAGCTGCTAAGTTGAAGTCTAAAGTATTGATTGACAGGGCATACTTTGTCTAAACTTCTAGTCAACTTAGTACCTTAAGTCTGCACTGCCAGTGGTGGTGTAGCGGTGGTGTCCAAAAACTCGAATGTTGTTTGGCATCTGAATTACTACTACTGAATTAGCAGAACAAGACCATATACGACTTGTTTGCCATAAATGTCGCCGAAGTGAAATTTCGTTGCAGTCGGCTTGTAACTGTGATTAAACATCGAGTATTCAATTATACAACAATGTCCTGATCGGCAGAATCCGACAGCCTAACAAATGCAATAAATTCTTGCGAAGATCCACACCCAAGCAGAAAAACAGAAGAGCATAGCTACAGGCTTCTTCAAACGGCAATATGCACTAAGTGAATGAATATGCACTAAGTGACTCACGTCCGCTTTGGGCTGGAAGATGAGGCCGTCCAACTCGTGGGGCATGCTCTGGGCAAACTTGTCACTCAGCAGCTGCATAACACAAACCGTGGCACAAAAAGAAATTGTTCATGAACAAGCACGTACACACTGATCGATAAGAAACTCTTTTGATAGGCTGTGAGGATACCAGTTTTTTGGGAATTTAAAGGAGCCCTGCAGCACTTTTTGAGCATGGTCAAAAAACGCTGCCGATCAGTAGTCGAGACTCCTGAGAAAACACGAGCCAAATATTATGGTGCAGCACGCAACATGGAATCCACAATAAATTGTCAAATTAAGCTAAAAATAGCATTTTCTTCCCTCGACAAATGACGATACAAGCTCGAAAATAACTCGGCACAGCCATTGTATTAGCCACTGATTGATTAGAGCGTGGCGCGCTTGGTTGTTACTCGGCTTACCGCAAAAGGCCGCCACTTGTCCATGCGAGTATGCGTGATTGCACTGAAAAGCTGCGCATTGAAAAGAAGAAGAAGAAAAAAAACAGCAGATGAAGTTCTTAAGTTTAGCGGCGAGTGTAACGCATTTCATTGCCCCATGCCATTTTTCCCTGCTTAGCTTCCAGCGCTTTCATCAAGACAAGAGAAGAGAGAATGCTATTGCAGCATGTGACAAATCTTTGTAATGCTGCTCGTACTAGATATTTTCTAAAAATTTTATGGCGGTAAATTCACAAGGCAATAAACTCCTTTAGTGGATACATTCCATGTCTACTTGAAAAAGTATTGCAGGGCTCCTTTAAATGCGATTTCAAAATATAAAACCTGTTGAGATCATAGAAAGGGCCCTTGAATGTGTCAATACTATTCCCAGTCTTTTCATTTCTACAACGATCTAATCAGATGTTCAGGCCACTTGTCCGTTCTCCCAATATTTGTGTAAGCTGTTACTCGTCTACCTACATGTGAATGTTCCTAACATACACTCAAACCTCGATATAACGAATTACTGGTTAGGACAAAGTAAACGAAGAATAGTTCTGTCATAGATACAGTGTTACAAATACACACTATAAAAAATTTGGGATATAATGAAGCATTTTCATGGCAAGTGTGACTTTGTTATTATGAGGTTTCAGTCTAGATCAGTTGGATGTTGATGTGAGTCTAAGCTGCATATCGCACAGACTTTCTGTTCAATTCAATTCAATTTGTTTATTTCAGACTAATATACAGAATTCACAGTATCACATATCAGCGACATGCCCAAACTTGACTTATATCCAAATATCGATTTTTGTTGCATCTGCCATGCTGTCCCATCATTTTACCATCTTTTATGGCACCATCCGTGTCAAGAATAATCACTTGGTGACGACCTTGTATTAAAAGTAAGAATTACAATATAACAAAGTTCTCACATAACGAAGTAAACTGGTGATCGTACAGTCTTCGTTATAATGAAATACAACTGCGTAAGCACTTACATTGTACAGTATAGACCGCTTATAATGCAAGTCGTGAGAGTCAGAAATATCCGCACTACAGTCCATCCCGGATAAATCGAACTCAAAGGGGATGGCGAAATAGTTCGATATATCGATAACTCGAAATACAAATTATGCATATTTAAGGCCTAAATTAAAGCAGTTCAGCCCTCGAGAATCGTCACAAGGCCTAACATAGCGATTCGCTCACAGTACAATGAAGAACAAGGCGTGAACTGCAAGTTACCACACTTTAGTTCGCATGAAAATAGTACGTAAACTTGTCTTGCTTCTTGCACACTGTCAAGTTCAATCAATCAATCAATAGAACTTTATTTTTCTATGAAGAAATAAAAATACAAAGTATATTTGGACCGATATCCTCAAGTGCCTTGTGACCAGTCCAATACAACGTGTACAGGAAATGTTCTGGTCACCAAAAAAAAAAAAGAATAACAGAAACGAATTATATGAATACGGGCGATACACGTATACATTTTTTCAAATCAAAACAGACAGACACACAGGCTTACATATCTTGTCTCAGTAAAAAAATGTACTTGCATGCTAGACGGAAATTCCGTGCTGTTTTAATCTTAAGGGGAATCGCGTTCCATATTTTCATCTTTCTCCATAAATATTGTAGCATTTGGGCAAATTGAAATTGCCATGAGATGCATGTCGCGTATTGCACGTAGGAATTGAGAAAATATCAGCAGGCAGGGTAATTTCTGTTAATCATATTATTTATTGAAACAGCTATATTGTAGTCGCGCAACGTCACAACCGAGAGAATGCATTGCGATTGGAAAATGTTACCTTCTGGTTAATCTTGGCTAATGATTGTCAATGAACGGTTTTGAATTTGTTCAAGAGTTTTTAGATAACTCTTGTACGTAACACTCTACCATTCCAAGCAGTAACTCATATGACAGTGACACAGTGAGAAGTAGAGTGTACGAAGTATGGCCGGTGGAAAATATTGGCAAGCTTTTATTAGAGTATACCAGCCATTGGCTACCTTTGCATACACACTCTGTACTTGCTCGTGCCAGTGTAAGTTCTCATAAAAAATGATGCCCAGATACTTAGAAGAAGCAATTTGTTGAATAGGAACATTGTTTACAGTTAGGTTAAGAAATTCAGTATTAATGTGTTACTTGCGAGAGTGAAACACTACGTATTTTGTTTTAGTACAGTTAAGAGTGAGCCGATTCTTGGCAAACCACTTTGAAACGTTCAACAAATCAGTCATCCCGTCATTTTGTAGCGCTGCCGAAAAGTGTCCTGTAAAAACTAAAACAGTGTCGTCCTCGTACATCAATGCTCTTGACCTATGCAGAGATAGCGGTACATCATTGATATATAGAGAGAACAATATAAGGCCTAATACCGAACCCTGTAGTACCCGCATTCATTATAACTGTAGGATGAACTGATGTTACCGATGACTACCTTTTGCTTGGCTTGCGTGTCGATAAATAACTAGAAACGAAATCGAGTGAGTTGCCTGCAATTCCATAGGAATGCATTTTTTCCAATAAAGTAGAGTGAATACCAGCATCAAATGCCTTCCTTATGACTAAGAATACTGCTATTACTACGTTGTTTTCATGTAGCGTGAAATTAATGTATTGCGTGATTAGTGGAGTTTATTGGCGCAAGGGCCAAATGTGGCCAAAGAGCGCCAGAGCGATGATAATGAACTGTGCGATGTTCAATGTAGATAAAACAGATGTGACGTGGCTGTAAATGGGCCTAAAAACAGTCGCTATGGGTGCGTAAAAATATATACATAGTAAAATTATGGCAATGACAAATGATGTGTGCTATGGAGACATAAAATGGTTTAAAATTGATATGTATGTGAAATGAAAACTTTGCATGGAGCACCAGTGCCTCGACAGAGCCCTTAAAACAAGAGCATGGAGGCCTGGGCTTATTGAAAGCTGCTATCACAGCGGCATCCTCTGAACAGAGGATGCGCTATGAACCTGTTGGGCTAAAAACATTCAATGTTGGGCTAAAAACATTCAATACTACATCCTTTAAAAAGCTTAAAACTGATTTTGCATCAAAAAGCGGTTCTTCACCGAGAAACATCATCGGATGTAAAGGAAGATTATAGCGGTATGCTGAAGCAAAATGTTTCTTTCTCTCACTTTCAGCTTCCTGACACTCCAGGAGGACGTGGAGGACGGTTAGCCTCTCACCACATCTACCACAAGTAGGAGGTTTATCGCCAGTCAGCAGAAAGCTATGGGTACCATAAGTGTGCCCTATTCTGAGGCGACAGAATAGGACATCAGTTCGCCGTGTTCTTGTAGCGGAGGGCCAGTAAACCAACCGCGGCTTAATCAAGTGAAGCTTATTATTTATTTCTGTGTCCCACAAGCGTTGCCAGTGGTTTCGCAGTTTCTTACGTAGGAAGGGTTTTAAATCTGTTGCAGGGACAGTAGCTGTGGGGTTAATAGCGCGCAATATAATTGACGTGGCCATTTGGTCAGCTAACACATTGCCCTCGATGTTTCTATGGCCAGGAACCCAGCAAATAGTAACATGCTGGTTGGACATATACGCTGTACACAGAACGGAATACAGCTCAATTATTACCGGATTTCTGTATCTGAAAAGGGATCTTAATGCATTTACGACGCTTAACGAGTCTGTGAATATAATTGATTTTGTATGTTTGATTTCCGTATATGCTTCACAGCCGACAATAGTGCATAACCCTCAGCCGTAAATATACTTGTTTCCGGGTGCAACACACCGGATTCCGAGAAGGATGGTCCGACGGCTGCATAAGCCACCCCTGCATGCGACTTAGAAGCGTCAGTATAAAACTCTACGCATGAGTAGTTGGACTGGAGTTGTCGGAAATGCATTTTAATATGTGCTTCTGGTGCATGTTTAGTGATCTCGGCAAAGGAAGTGTCACAATGTATGAGCTGCCACTGCCACGACGGTAAATGTTTTGTTGTGGGCATAGGACAAAGTTCTAGCAGCGAAACACCCATTTCCTCACTTAAGCTTCTCACACGCAAAGAGAACGGCTTTCTCGCTGCGGGTCGATTATGGTAGAGGGTGGCAGCGGTCATATCGTTTATAGCTGAATAAGAAGGATGCTTTATGTTTGCACGTACCTTTATAAAATAAGTAAAACTGCTATAGGATCGCTGCAGGTGAAGTGACCACTGATTCGACTCTACATAGAGACTCTGGATCGGACTTGTCCTGAAAGCACCGGTTGCAAGTCGGATACCCAGATGGTGAACGGGGTCGAGGATTTTCAAAGCACTTGGCGTTGCGGAATGATAAATTATAGAGGCGTAATCAAGGCGCGACAAAACAAGGCTTTTGTACAAGTTCAAGAGACACTTCCGATCACTACCCCATGTTGTACGTGATAGGAGCTTTAGGAGGTTCATCGCTTTCAGACATTTCATTTTTAAATGTTTAATATGGGAATAAACGTGAGCTTAGAATCTAAAGTGGTTCCTAGGAATTTATGCTCGCTGCTCACAGAGAGTTGGTCTCCCTTGATCACAATATTTGGTAGTGGCATTACCCCTCGTTTGTTGCAGAAGAGTACGCAAGTACT